CTCTCTCTCTCTCTCTCTCTCTCTCTCTCTCTGCTCTCTCTCCTCTCCTCTCTCTTCTCTCCCTCCCTCTCTCTCTCCTCTCTCTCTCTCTCCCTCTCTCTCTCTCTCTCTCTCCTCTCTCTCTCTTCTCTCTCTCTCTCTCTCTCTCTCTCTCTCTCTCTCCCTCCTCTCTCCTCTCTCCTCTTTATCTATCTATCTATCTCTTTCTTTCTTCTCTCTCTTTCCTTCGCTTCCTTCTCTCCCTCTCCCTCCTATTCTCTACTAATATCCCACTTCCTTACCCTTTTACCTCTCCTTTCTTCATCCATTCATTCCCTTCCCTCTCTGTCTCTGTCTTCCTCCCATCCCGCTCTCCTTCCCTATTTCTCTCTCTCCTTCTCTCCCTCCGCCTCCCCCGTCTTCTACCCACTCTCTCCTCTGCTCTCCCTCCGAAATAGGGGACTGACCAAACGGAGAGAACATAATATGTGCCATTTAAACTTTACGTCATGTGAGCTTTTTAACGAGAGCATTGTTTGGCGATGCTGATGCTGCTGGTGGAGCAGATGGGGGGGGGGGGAGACAGACAGACAGACAGACAGGCCGACAGACAGGAGGACGAACGAGAATTAGGGGAGGGAGGGCGAGTAGATGGATCGGTGAATGTAGAAAAGGAAGAAGCAAAGAAAGGGAAAGAAAAGGAGAGAAGAAGAAGAGAGTCAGAGAGGGGAGAGGGGGAGGGAAAGAGCAAGGGCAAGGACAGCGAAGTTTAATATAGCGAGGACGAGAGCCGGTGTTTTCCGCTTTGTACGTCGCTGTGATCTTCGTTTTATAAGGATAACGTCATTTCGCTGTAGTAGGATGCATAGCGATGCTCTTCCCGCGTGCAGCCCCCCCCCTCCCCTCCCTTTCCCTCATTCCGCATCTCCCTCTTTCTCAATTCCCCCTCTGATGTTCCCCAACAACCATATCCATCCCTCCGCCTCACCCCTTCCTCTTTCTCCATCTCTCCTCTCTCCTCCTCTCCCTCTCCCTCCATCTCCCATCCTCCTCTTCCCCATCTCGTCTTCTTGCCTCTTGATTCTGACAAAAGGTTTTTATCCAAAATATTTTAACCCTTCCAACTGTAGGTAACACAACTGTGTCCAAACGAGACAAAGTTAACTCCTACATGTTAAAAAGATCACGTACAGACATAGGGGCACGACAGACACTAACACGTTGACCCATGATTTGGAACCAACTACCTTATGGTATCAGAAACATTCAAAAGTCAAATACTTTCAAAAGGAAATTAAAGGAACATTTATTAAATCGCCAATGACATCAGGTTTCTAAATATAAGAATAGACAAGATTTATAAGTACTACCACTTATAACTTATATTTATTTGTACTGTAACATCACTATGTATATAATAAGAATAACCATTGTGACAAATGGAAAAAAGTATTTTGAATTTGAGTTGAGTCCTCCCTCTCCTCCCTCCCTCCCTTCTCCCCATCTCCTCCTCTCCTCCCCTCCTTCCCCCTCCTCCCCATTTTCCACCCTCTTTCTCGTCGTCGGACCGGGAGGGGGGGTGCTCTTTGATCGCCGTAATCTAACCTTGTTGAAATAGATTCCAACTTTGTTCTATGGATTGAGAGGAGGGAGGGAGGGAGAGAGGGAGGGACCGGGAGTCGAGGTGAAGGATGAAAGAGGGGAGGGAATATGAAAGAGGAGGAAAGTATTGGGGGATGGAAGCGGGGAGAAGGCAGAGAGAGAGAGAGATAGAGAGAGAGAGAGAGAGAGAGAGAGAGAGAGAGAGAGAGAGCGAGAGAGAGAGAGAGAGAGAGAGAGAGAGAGAGAGAGAGAGAGAGAGAGAGAGAGAGAGAGAGAGAGAGTGAAGGAGAGAGAGGTAAGAGAAAGCGAGAGAGAGAGAGAGGGAGGGAGGGAGAAAGGAGAGGAGGGAATCTCCGCAAACGGACAGTCTATAACCTGTTTTACATCGAAAGTGTTCTTTGTGAGGCAACAATGGTAAGACTAACACGTGTCGGACAGAGAGGGGGAAACTTGGAGAAAGAAAGGGGAAGAACGGAACAAGGGGAGAGGGAAAAGGGAAGGGGGAGAATGAGGGGAACGAGAAGAGTGAGAAGAATTTTCTAATCAAGCTCTTCGTTGTTTTTTATCACTTACTAATCCCCGATTCCCTTGCTATTGCATTTCCCAATCCCCTTTTCTTATTGGTGTATCCCCTTTCCTGATTTCCCAATCCCAATCCCATTTTCCTGATTTCCAATCCCTAGTTCATTATTCCCCAATCCCCTTTTTCCTTATTTCCCAATACCCCATTTCCTTATTATTGCAACATCCTAATCCCCCTTTTCTTCTTTCGCAGGTGTAGTCAGCGGCAGAACTGCAGCGTGGCGGCGTCAACGAGGGGCTTCGGCGACCCCTGTCCTGGCACCCTCAAGTACTTGGAGGCGCATTTCCAGTGTGTTCCTGGTGAGTGGCACTCTCTCTTTTTGGCTGTCTCTGTGTTTCTTCTCTTTTCTTTTCTCTTTTTTCTCTCTCTCTCTCTTTCTTCTCTCTTCTCTCTTTCTCTCTTCTCTCTCTCTCTCTCTCTCTCTCTTTTCTTTTCTCCTCTCTCTCTCTCTCTCTCTCTCTCTCCTCTCTCTCTCTCTCTCTCTCTCTCTCTCTCTTCTCTCTCTCTCTCTCTCTCTCTCTCTCTCTCTCTCTCTCCTCCTCTCCTCTCCTCCTCCTCCTCCTCCCTCCTCCTTCCCTTGCTCTTACCCCCTTCCTCTTCCATTAGCTCGCCATGCATCGCCCTTCAGATTTCCTTCCTGTTGGTTTATTTTCCATTTATTTCTTCTCTTCTCGATTCGTTTCCGCCAATTTCCCCTTGTTCCCCTCCCCCTTTTTTTTCTCTCTCTCTCGCTTTTTTTCCGTTTGTTTTGATTACTGATCTTTGCCCGACGGCTCGAGGGGTCCTTTCTGTATGGAGCCGAAAATGTCTGGTGCCTGTGATTTAATGCGGTGGTTTGGGTATTGGGTTTGTGTGTGTGTGTGTGTGTGTGTTTGTGTGTGTGTGTGTGTGTGTGTGTGTGTGTGTGTGTGTGTGTGTGTGTGTGTGTGTGTGTGTGTGGTGTGTGTGTGTGTGTGTGTGTGTGTGTACGTGTACGTGTGTGTGTACGTGTGTGTGTGTACGTGTGTGTACGTGTGTGTGTGTGTGTGTGTGTACGTGTGTGTGTGTGTGTGTGTGTGGTGTGTGTGTGTGTGTGTGTCTATTTATGTATTCATTTTTGTGTGTTTATGTATGTGTGTGTGTGTGATTATGTATGTATGTGTGTGTGTCCATTTATGTATTAATTTTTGTGTGTTTATGTGTGTGTGTGTGCAGACTTTGTAAGTGAATGCAGGATAGGGTACAGTGACTTCTCACGGGATCCCGTTCAAGAACTAACGTCCTTCCTCCCTTGCAGTGAGTCCGCCCCAGCACACCGCGCGCGCCCCCCCGCACTGGTTCATCGCCACCAAGACGACCGTCAGCTCCATCACGGAGGACGACCTCTCTTTCCGTCGCCGCCCACGAAGATCAGTCCCGCCGGCGCTGGCGGAAGGCAGCGCCAGTGGGGGGCCGTCACCGACGGCGTAGAGCGCGAGGGCGGCCTTGGCGCCGGTGTTGAAGGAAGCGTAGAGGGAGGCGACGGCACAGGCGTCGTGGGCGGCGCCGCCGACGTCGTGGGCACCGACCTCGGCAACCGGCTGAAGGGAACGCCCGCAGAGGACCTCCCACAGACGACCACCTCCACCACGACCACGACGACGCTACGCCCGCCGCCGTGGCTGATCACCAACACCACCAAGAACACCACGACCTCCACCACCACCTCCTCCACCACGTCAACGACCACCTCGACCGCGAAGCCGTCGTCCTCGACCACGTCCACCACGGCGCGCCCCAACACCAACCTGGAGGCGCCCGCCGTCCCCTCCGAGGGCGGGTCCGAGGGCGGCAGAGACGACCACGAGCACCGGGACGCGGCCAAGGGCGCCGCCACCGACGGGCCCGACGCGTCCGACGCCGACAGAGTCTCCACCTCGACCATCTCCACCACCAGTAAGTCCGGTTTTTCGGTTTCTCATTGCTGTTGTCTTTTTTTGACCATTAACCCGCCCTTTCTCGGTGCAAGTAGCCCCCTTTCCTCGCCTTCCTCACTGACGCGAGCCTCTGTTGCAGCCGTGTGGGCCCCGCGCGCCGAGGTGCCGCCACGGAGGTCGGCGTGCCCATCAGCGAGGCCTCGTGGTGCCCGCCGTCCTCCGGCCGCGGGTTGTTCTGGAACTGGACTCAGGGCGGCGAGGTGGCCGTGCAGCCGTGCCCGGGGGGGCGCCTCGGGCTGGCGCGCCGCCCCTGTAACCCGCTGGGCTGGCGGGCCCGCCGACCTCAGCGAGTGCCGCAGCGTGTGGCTGACGACGCTGACGGCGCGCGCGCACACCAACGACGCGGTGCTGGCGGTGGCGCACGACCTGGCCACGGTGACGGGGTCGCGGGCGCTCTACGGCGGCGACGTGACGGCCACGGCCAGGCTCCTGAACAGCCTGGCGCGGCGCATGGCGGACGACGTCAGCAACTTCCCCGACCGCGACCAGCGCGAGGCCCTCGTCACGGAGCTCGTGGGCGCCGCCATCGCCACGGGCTCGCACCTCATGGGCGGGCAGCGAGACGCGTGGGCGGACCTGCGCCCGCCCGAGCACAGGGCGGCGGCCACCGCGCTGCTGCTGGGCCTGGAGGAGGCCGCCTTCCTGCTGGCCGACAACCTGCACCACGAGAAGACCGTCAACCACGCCGAGTCCAATATCTGTAAGTATGGGGGAGAGGGAGGAGGGAGGGAAGGAAGGAAGAAAAATAGATAATGAAAAATGAAAAAAGAATGGAAGAGACTTTTTTAGCGGGCGTTTATTTTTAGTCATCGCTAAAACTGAATCGAGTTACGTCTCAAAATAACATCCTATCTTTACTTTAAAAAAAAATGACAAGGTAACATTCTATAAGCGTGGTTTAATTAGGTCAAACAGAACAAAGAGACAGGCATAGCCTCTCTCTCTCTGTCTCTCCATCAATTTTCTTCCCATATTCTTCAGAAAACCCTTTTTCTTCTTCTTTTTTAACAATCCTAATTTGATTTTCGGTCCGCCTCCCTCCCCCTCTCCCTCTCCTCTTTTTCCTCCTCTTAATTTCGAAATACTCGCGCCGCAGGTGATGTCAGCCGAGCCAGTCGCCCTCTGCTTTCGGCTAGATCAACCTTTAATGTCACTCCTGCCAAACTAGATTACAGAAATACCATTAGCTCAGCCAATTTCGTGCTGCGAAGTCTGTTTCGGACTCGGCGGGGGCGGGCGGGGGCGGGCGGGGGCGGGCGGAGGTGGGTGGGTGGGAAAATGTTGGCGTATCACAATGTTGGAAGATGCGCAAATAGATGGATGGGGGAGAATGGAGGGGTGGTTGGGAGGGAGAGGGAAAGGGGATAGGATGGAAAGGGAGGGATAGAGAGGGATAGGGGATAGGATGGAGAGTTGGAGTAGGAGAAGGGGAAGAAGGGGAGAGAGAAAAAAATGGATAGAGATTGTGGATACTTCAGATATGAAAACATCTCGAGTTCATTTAAGGCCGAAGCAGGATTCTGGAGGCTGCAATTGATGGATGCAAAGGATATTGCAGGATTCGATTGCAAAAGGCGAAGGGTCTGATAGGTATGGCATTAGGCGTTAATTAATTAGGTCGCGGAATTGGCTCCGAAAATTTTCTCTTTTGACCTTTCCGTTTTCTTTCCTTTTCTCTACTTGATTTCACATTTTTTTTTTCTACTCCTTCTTTTGCTTCTTCATTGTTTTCTTTCCTTTTACCTTCACATATGTTTTTTTCTTCTGTATTCTCGCTCTCATTTTTATTTTCTCGAGTATTTTTCCCCGTTTACTATAGATTCGTCTGAGCAGAAATGGGAAGGGAGAAGGGGCAGATAAAGATTGAGGGAAGAGGAAGGGAGGGAAGAAATGGGAAGTTTGAGGGAAGAGGAAGGGAGAGAAGAAATGGGAAGGAAGAAGGGGCAGATAAAGATTGAGGGAAGAGGAAGGGAGAGAAGAAATGGGAAGGAAGAAGGGGCAGATAAAGATTGAGGGAAGAGGAAGGGAGAGAAGAAATGGGAAGGAGAAGGGGCAGATAAAATTGAGGGAAGAGGAAGGGAGAGCAGGAAGAAGGGGCAGATAAAGATGAGGGAAAGAGAAGGGAGAGAAGAAATGGGAAGGGAGAAGGGGCAGATAAAGATTGAGGGAAGAGGAAGGGAGAGAAGAAATGGGAAGGGAGAAGAAGGGGCAGATAAAGATTGAGGGAAGAAGGAAGGGCAGCGGAGGAGAGGGAGAGAAGGTAGGAGGATAGAGAGAGAAAGAGGGAAGAAAAGGGAAGGGAGAGGGAGGGGCCGAAAGGAAGGGAAAGAAGAGAGGAGAGGCGGGAGAGAGAGTAATGGAGAGATAAAAGGGAAGCGAAGTGAAAGAGAATAGAAAGAATAGAAAGAAAAACTCCTCTTCCCTCCCCTCTCAAAAAAGGAAGAATAACGTAGGAGACAATAGCAGCTCTCCTTCGCGATATTTTTTTTTCCCTTCTTTCTCTCCTTTTTCTTTTTTTCTCTCCTTTTGTTTTTCTTTCCTTCTTTCTCTCCTTTTCTTTTTCTTTTCCTTCTTTTTCCTTTTCTTTTCTTTTCCTCTTTCTCTCTTTCTCTTTCTTTCCTTCTTTTCTCTCTCTTTCTTTTCTACTTTTTTCTTTTTCTTTTCCTTCTTTCTCTCCTTCTCTTTTCCTTTTGTTTGTCATCGCGAGGAAGCAAGGGACGATAGACTGATGTAGGGAAAGGCGCCGTTAATATGCGAGAGAGCAGCGCGGACCGACGAGCAGGAATTGGAAGCCAGGTAGACTGCGCATAGATATATCGGCATTAGGCTAGCTTCTCCTTTTCTATAATGGCCAATTTGGTTCTCCCTCGGTGCGTTCACGTGTGCGTTCTTATGTCCGTACACGCGCACACGCCCGTACTTATATATTCACATAGATAAACGCACTCATGTTCATAATGTTTGCTTATATTCGCATGCACATGTATACATACACACACACACACACACAAACTAACGAAGGCACACACACGCGCACACAAACAAACGAAAATACACACACACGCACACAAACAAACGAAAATACACACACACGCATTCAAACAAGTAAACAAACAAAAAAGCAAACAAACAAACACAAAGACACCCGCGCTTCAGAAACCAATAGTTGGAAGCGCCAATTAAATTGCAAAAAATGATATCGTATTCTCGGAGGTCCGGCGCACCGTGTTGGAGATGCGTTGGTGTTATATGACGGCCCGTTAGGCAGAAGAAAAAAAATTGATGAAAAATGGCAGACGACGTGATGTGCAAACGGGAGCATTTTTGTCGTATGCCTTTTGCTTCTTTTCTCTTCTCTCTTCTTCTTCTTCTATTCTACTCCCTCTTCTTCTTCTATTCTACTCCTTCTTTTTTCTATTATTATTCTCCTTCTTCTTTTTACTCCCCTTCTCCTTCTTCTCTTCCCTCTTCTGCTCTTCTCCTCTCTTCTTCCTCCTCCTCCTCTTCCTCTTTTTCATTCTTCTTATTCTTCTTTTCTTCTACTCCTCATTTTCTTTTTACTTTTCCTTTTCTTTCTTCTTTTCTTTTTTTCCTTTCTTCTCTCCCCTTTTCTCTTCTTCTCTTCTTTTTTCCTATTTTCCGGAGTTTAGAGGGTATAGGGTGGGGGGGAGTTGGGTAGAGGTTATGAATGGGGGGGGTCAGTTGGGGGTTGAAGGTATGTGGAGGGACGGAGGGGGGGGGGGGTAAAGGGTGGGGGGGGGGTTGGGGTTTTGGGAACCGCTATCGTATTTTGAGTTCGACTCCCCAACCCCCCACCAAGGACCTGGGAGAAGACCCACTTCTCTGAATACCAAGGAGGAGGAGGAGAGAGGAGAGGAGAGGAAGAGGAATGGGTGGTGGTAGAGGAAGAGAAGAGGAGGAGAAGGAGAAAGGAATAGAAGAAGAAAGAGAGGAGGAGGAGGAAGAAGAAGAAGAAGAATAGGAGGAGGAGGAGGAAGAAGGAGAAGGAGAGAAAGAAAAGTAAGATGAAGATGAGAAAGAAAGGGAGGTGGAGGAGGAAGAGAGGAGGAAAACTACAGAAAAAATGCAAAAAAAAAAAAAAGTTAGCATCCCACCCCCCCCACCCCACCCCCCCATGCACCCCACCCCGCCCATCCCAGCCTTCGTCTCCTTCGGTTCCTTAAGCATTCCGCCCACTCCCTACGCGGGCGATGGTCGCGGCCTTGTTTATTGCGCGGAGGGATCTTAATTGGCGGAGGCGGTTGAGCGTCGCCTTTGGAGGGGAGGGGGGCCAGGTGGTGGCAGGGGGGGGGGTATTATCGAAGGGGAAGGAGGGAGATATACAAAGGGGGGGTGGCGTTTGTTTGCTGTATCAGGGGGGGGTTCTGTCTATATATTGCGATCTACTATCTTCTGGTTCTCTTTCTTCTCTCTCTCCTCTCTTCTCTTCTCGCTCTCTCTCTCTCTCTCTCTCTCTCTACTCTCTCTCTCTCTCTCTCTCTCTCTCTCTCCTCTCTCTCTCTCTCTCTCTCTCTCTCTCTCTCTCTCTCTCTCTCTCTCCTCTCTCTCTCGTTACATACATACATACATACATATATACTACGTACACATACATACACATACATACATACATACATACATACATACATACATACATACATACATACATACATACATACATACATACACACACATACATGCATACATATGCACATGACTGCACACCCGCTCCGGGCCGCCCGCGCCGGCCGCCGCCCGCGAACGAGGCTGCAGCTTCCCGTGCGCGGCGCGCGAGGCAGCGACCGGACGCGAGCGGCCAGCCGACGAGCGAGAGAGCGATGCACAAATTCAATAAATTAGTAGCTGGATGTAATCCTCCGGTGGAACTTAATTACGTTAAGTGTACACCTTTGCATTTGGAAGTACAAAGCAGGCGTGCCAGTGTTATAAACGCGTTACAGTTTTACACTTTTATTCGGAGAACCGATGTTTTTCGCTTTTTTTTCGTTCTTTTCTTCTTTTTCTAGTATTTTTAGGATGGGGTGGACTGGCCTCTTGATAGGTGAAAGTATTATCTATTTGAAGTGCGATATATTTATGTTTTTGGTGTCTTTTATGATTTCTTTTGTTGATTGACGGGTGCATGATAAGCCACTTGGGCGTATACTAAGATTAAATTTTAGAACTTTTTTTTCTTGTGTTGCTTTTCTATTTTTTATAATGTGAGGAGAGAGGGGGATAGGCAAGGAAGGGACGGAGGGAAGGGGGGGAGAAAGACAAGAGAGAGGGAACAGGTGTGTCTGTGTGTGTGAGACAGGCAGAGAAAATGGAGAGAAATGTTTTTTATAGAGTGAGATGATAAATCCCAAGAAATCCAGTACTCTGACTTTGCCTTTTTCCCGCCAGTGCTGCGCCTTCAGGTGGTGGAGACGCGCAACGTGGCCGCCGTCACCTTCCCTTCGCCGGGAGAGACGTGGCTGCAGCCGCCGCCCACACGCCCCTCGGACCTCTCCGACGCGCCCACGGGACACCCCTCGACCACCTCGGGAGAGCTCGACGCCCCCGCCGTTGCCACCTCCCTCCTCGGCGGTTCGTCGTCGTCGTCGTCGTCGTCCTCCTTCGACCCGACGAACAGCCTGCAGGACCCCGAGACGCCCCCGCCCGCGCCCCAGGACACCATCACGCTCCCCCCGGAGGCGCTGCTCGAGAACTCCGAGAACGGCCTCGTCAAGATGGTCTTCTTCAGCTACGACGGCCTCCACCACCTCCTGCAGCCCGACGGGAGGTCCTACAGGATCAACGAAGCCAACTTCAAGGTGACTTTTTCCTCGATGTCTGTCCCGCGGCATTGCCCTTGGTTTCGCTCGGAACTGACTGTTTCTCTTTGTGGTTCCCCGTCGGGCTGTTTGTTTTTTTTTTCTCCAATGATTTCCTTTTAGACCCAGATCTGATTTTGAAAATTAATCCGTGACATTCCAAACTGCATTTCGTAATTTCGAAATGAAATAGGGTTATAAGCCACGTACATTGCAGTAAATTCTGCTACATTAAAAGTTATAACAACGATGATGATAATGATATGAGTAATAATAGTAATAATGATGATAATGATAATGTTAGTAATAATGATAATGAAAAAAAGATAGCAATAACTGTCATTAGTATGATTATAAAACTAATAATTATGAAAATAGGCAAACATGCAAATGAGTAAATAAGCAACACAAACAAAAATGACGCCCCTGTGATAACTCCCCCTCTCCGCCAGGGCGTGAACGAAACCCGCGTGCTGAACTCCCGCGTCGTGTCGGCCTCCCTGGGCGCCGGACGTCACATTGAACTGCCGGAGCCTGTCGTCCTCACGTTCACCATGATCAGGACAGTGAACGTCACCAACCCCGCCTGCGTCTTCTGGGACTACACCACCAGGTAGGAGCTTGTGGTCCACGTTTTCTGTGGGTGGTTTTAGTCTCCCCCTTTATCTGTGGTTTACGTTTTCTTTGGAGGGAATTTGGTTTCCCTTTTTCTTTTCTGTGGCGTTTTCTCCCTTTTCTTTGATTTGGGTATTTGTAGCTCTATTTTTTTATCTTTTTTTTTGGGGGGAGGGAGAGGGTTGTTTGTTTTCGCGTGGCTCTCTATTTGTGTTCATTATTTCATTGTTTGAGTTTTAGGATGCCTTTTTTGCGACAAATTGTTTATTGCGAAAACGGAGGGATTAGGATAAAACAAATCGTGTTTTCGCTGTGCGGTTTACGACGTAGAAAAATGATGAAGAAAATGATAGGTAAGAAGGGAAACAAGAGGAGCAAATCCAGAAGGAAGAAGAACGCTAGAAATAAAGAAAAATACAAGTGTGAGCATCATTAAAGTTAATGAATAAGGGAGAGAGGCGAGTTTTCCAGGTGCGTTCCCAGCCGGTGTCTTGAGGCGGTTGTATCCCTTGCCTGTCTGGGTGATAGTCGCCTGCCTCGGCCACTAACAGCCTTATCTCTGTCAGCTTCGATAATAATGTTGCAGACGCTTTGCATGTTGCAGGGAATGTTGCTTTGCTCTTTTTTATCTTCCATTGTCAAGGAGGATGATAGTTGTATGACTGTTAGCGGAGATAAAGAGGCGTTCGATTGAGATCTGTGGTTGGGGGCCGCTTGGGTCTGCGGGTTGGATTTTTTTTCTTTTTTTGTTTTGCTCTTTTTCTTCACTTTACATCGCTTTCTTTGGCTGTTGTTCTCTCTCTCTCTCTCTCGTTCTCTTTATTTCGTTTTCATTTCTCTTCGTTTTCTCTCTCTCTCTCTTTCTCTTTCTCTCTCTCTCTCATTTTCTTCTCTCTCTCTCTCTCTCTCTCTCTCTCTCTCTCTCTCTCTCTCTCTCTCTCTCTCTCTCCTCTCTCTCTCTCTCTCCTCTCTCTCCCTCTCTCCTCCTCTCTCTCCTCTCTCTCCCTCTCCCTCTCCCTCTCCCTCCTCCCTCTCTCCTCCTACTCCTACTCCTTACTCTTCTCCTCCACCCTACCTCCTGCTCCTCCTTCCCCCCCACCTCCTCCTCCTCCCCCACCCTCTTCCTCCCACCTCCACCCACCTCCACCTCCTCCACCTCTCCTCCTCCTCCTCCTCCTCCCTCCTCCTCCTCCCCCCACCTCCTCCCCACCTCCTCTCCTCCCCCACCTCCTCCTCCTCCTCCCACCTCCTCCTTCTCCTGCGCAGGGCCATTGCATGACGGAGATAAAAGTGTTTAACCAGCAGTTCTCTCTCAAACGACCCCAAGGTTGTCAGTCGTCGTTCGTATCAGCAGCTTTTGGGGATGGGCGGCGTGACAGAGGGGAGGGTGGGGAGGGGAGAGGAGGGGTAAGAGGGGAGGTGGGAGGTGGGAAGGGGTGAGGAGGTGGGAAGGGGTGAGGAGGTGGGAGAGTGAGGAAGGGAGGATGGGGCGGGGGTAAGGAGGGGATAAACTGCACGCAACATACACTTACCCCACTCGCCGGGAGGGGAAGGGGGGGGGAGAAAGGGTAAGCTGCACGTCACATTGTGTACATTCGCTCACATACTCGGGGGCTGACAGCCTAGGGTGGGGAGGGGGTGGGAGAGGTGGGGGAAGGGGGGCAGGGGGGGCGTTTGATCTTGAGAAATGATGAACGTGGGCGGATGCGGGATTTGATTGAATATTAATTAGGTTCGTTAGATTTCGGATGGCTCCTGGTGCAGTGTCGCCCTCCACCCCCTCTCTTACCCTCCCTCTTCTGATTTCCTCCCCCCCCCCCACTCCGCACTTACCTTCATCTTTTCCTCATCTTCCCCATTCTTCCCCCGCCCCTCACCCGCCCACCCATCTTAATACTCTTTTCTTAAACTCTTTCTTCTTCATCTCCTTTTTTCTTCTCCTCCCATATTTAATCCTTTTTATTTCCTTCCACCCTTTTCAATCGCCTCCTGTTCATCTTTCTCTCCTCCCCCTATATCAACTTTTCTTCCTTAGTTATTAATTTTGCCCCCTCTCTCTCTCTCTCCTCTCTCTCCTCTCTCTCTCTCTCGTCTCTTCTCTCTCTCTCTTCTCTCTCCTCTCTCTCTCTCTCTCTTCTCCTCCTCCTCCTCTCCTCCTTCCCTGCCTCGGTCCTCTCTGTCTCTCTCCTCTCCTCTTCTCTCTCTCTCCCTCCTCCCTCCTCCCTCCCTCCCTTCCCTCCCTCCCTCCCTCCCTTCCTTCCTTCCTTCCTTCCTTCCTTCCTCTCCTTCCCCTCTCCTTCCTCCCTTTCCCCCCGTCCCCCCCCTCTGCTCAGCCCATTCAGTGATGGAAAAATGAATCAGCACCGTAAATGGCGCCCTGACCTGCTTACGCGAGCAAATGTTATTTCGCCATTCGACAGCACCGCCGGACACGACTTCTCCCGGCGTCGACCAGGCTGAAATCCGCGTCGTTTGTTGTTTTGTGTTTTGTTTTGTTTTTAATGTGTTTATTGTTTTGTTGTGTTTGTTGTTTATTGTTTTGTTTGTGTTTGTTTGTTTACTGTGTGTTTATTGTTTTGTTTGTGTTTGTTTGTTTGTGTGTTTTATTGTTTTGTTTGTGTTTGTTTTTGTGTGTGTTATTGTTTGTTTGTTTTGTTTGTTTTATTTTGTTTGTTTATTGTTTGTCCAGTGTTAGTTTTTTATTGTCTCGTTTAGTGTTAGGGTTAACTGTTTTGTTCAATGTTTTATTTTGTTTAGTGTTTGTTTTTATTGTCTTGTTTAGTGTTAGTGTTTATTCTTTTGTTTAATGTTTGTGTTTATTTTGTTAATTGTTTTAGGGGTAGTCATTTTTCCCTTTTTTTGTCTGTTATGATTTTATTGGTTATTTTCTAATAAAATCAAGTAGGATTGTGTTTTTTTTTTATTATTGACGACGTTCTTGGTTTATGTTCGTGTTTGTGTTAGTGACTGTGTGTGATTTAGTGGCTGTGTATGTGTATGTGCGTGTCTGCATGTACGTTTATGTTCGTATTAGTGATTGTGTGCGATTCTGTGGATTAGTGACTGTATTTGCTCATGTATGTGTATGTGCGCGTCTGTATGTATGTGTATGTGCGCGGCTGTATGTATTGTTGTGTGTGTATGTGCGCGTCTGTATGTATGTGTGTGTGCGCGTCTGTATGTAGGAGTATGTGCGCGTCTGTATGTATATGTGCGTATGTATGTTTATGTGCACACAATCAAACGATTTTTTGATTGGGCGATCAAAGCCTGCGCGCCTACCCGATTGGAAGGAGGATTGGGATAACACCAAAGGCCGAATCAGCGACAAGACACTCAGGTCGAATCATTGCGGTCACGGTGGCTGAGTCGCCTTGTTAGTGCTCTGCGTGTGTGTTTGTGTGCGTTTGTGATTGTGTGTATGTTTGTGATTGTTGTGTGTGTGTGTTGATGTTTGTGATTGTGTGTTGTGTTTGTTTGCATGTTTGTGATTGTTTTTTTTGTGTGTTTATTTTGTAATTGTGTGTGTGTGTATTTGTGTTTGTGTGTATTGTGTGTGATGGCTCGCGCGCGCGTGTGTGTGTGCGTGTGAATGTGTGTTTTGTCTTCGGATGTTATCATCGGGTTCATTAATGTTGTGATTATGGCTGACGAGGCAGAAGAGGAGCCGGTGTGATGAGGGGAGATAGGGTGGGGGGTAAGGATGGAGGGGGGAGGAGGTGGAGATGGGAGAGGGGGGTGAGGGAGGAGGTGGGGGGGCCTGTGGGTAAACAGCGCGACATATTGGTGACGGCCTCATGAATTCACAATGAAGCGTCACCTACTTTACGAACGCACACACACACACACACACTCACAAACTCACTCACTCACACACACACACATACACATACACATACACATACACATACACATTATTGCTGATTTCAGTGATAGTTTTGATAATGATATCGGTAGTAGTAATATTGATAATCGTATCAGCAATGATAATAAAGATAGTTAACAAAACAAGGTAACGAGCGCTAAATATTTGAACAAATGGAGACAGACAGACATTCAGAGGGAGATAAGCAGACAAACAGACGTACATGCACACAGACAGACAGATAAATAGACATAAATGTACACAGACAGACAGATAAATAGACATAAATGTACACAGACAGACAGATAAATAGACATAAATGTACACAGATAGACAGATAAATAGACATAATGTACACAGACAGACAGATACATAGACATAAATGTACACAGACAGGCAGATAAATAGACATGAATGTACACAGACAGACAGATAAATATACATAAATATACACAGACAGACATATAAATAGACTTGCATACTCACAGACAGACAGATAAATAGACAGAAAGATAAACAGACATACATAAAGACAGATAAATAGACTCACACAAACAGGTAAATAGACATAAATACTCACAGATAGACATACACAGACAGACAAATAGACATAATCATACACAGACAAAAAGACATAAATACAGACAGACAAACAGACATAAATTCAGACAGGCAAAACAGACGTAAATACAGACAGACAAACAGACGTAAATACAGACAGACATAAATACAGACAGACAAACAGACGTAAATACAGACAGGCAAACAGACGTAAATACACAGACAGGCAAACAGACATAAATACAGACAGACAAACAGACGTAAATACAGACAGACATAAATACAGTGAGTTCCCCATCCCTCCCGCAGCCACCGTGGCACCTTCGACGAGCTGCCCGAATTAACGAAGTCTTGACGACTCTTAATTGATAGGCCAACAAGGGAATAAAGCTCAGGGGAAGGAAGGGGAACGGGAGATAAGGGTGGAAATCCTATGTCGGGATAGAGGCGGAGACGCCCTTAGCGCGATGGGGACTGGTGGAAAGGGGGATGGGGTGGGGGTGGGGGTGGGGGGAGGCTCTCATTATTGTCACACCTGTCGAGGAACGGAGGGGGGGGGGGGAGTGGGAGAG